GAAACATCCTGTCAGAATAATAAAAAGCATATCTTTGACTTTTTTTTATCTTTTTTCCAAACTCTTTAAACATTTAAGCAGACAGCTCATCAATGACATATTGCATAAACGCCTCACTGTTAGAAGTAATTTTTCACGATGAATCTTTAAAGTGCCAGAATATCTGGTAAGTTAAATTTTGGTTTTCTTTATATGACAAATGCTTAATAGTTGTCTTAGAGACTTTCCGCACGATGATTTTTATCTGTATTTTATTACGGTAATAATAACATCTAATATACTCTCTCAGTTCTGTCTTGTTCTTTCTTAAGGTCAAAATTATATCCAGAGCTAAAAGCAGCAAGAGACTTCTTCCTTTCTTCCTCTCAGTATTTTAAGGAAATAAATTGCCATCTACAGGCAAATAATAGCAAATTAGGAAATCTAAATGTGAGAGACATATATGCTTTAATATATGCTTGGTAATCAGAAAACCAAGTATTGGTATGTCATTACAACAACTAATTTTCAGTCTCACAAGTAAATTAGATGCTATTACATCAGCCTATTTAATTGCCTTTCTTGCCAATAATCTGTGAAGAAGAAAAAAAAAGAAGTTAATTCCTCCTCCTGTCTTCAGGCAGATTTCACTCTTTCATATTTTATTGGATTTGTTCTTTATATTTTCACCTGGTGGTGAACCTTAGCTGCCTCCTTCAAAGGCACAGATCATTTTTAGGGCACCGAGGAGCAGCAGGCAACATGCACTCAGGTGCAGGGCCCTTTGCAAGGTGCCCTTCCAGGGGTGAGGAGGGGGATGCAGCGCGCGCTCCCGCAGCGGAGGACCCGATGCCGACCCCGGGCTCGGCACAGGCTGCCTGCTGTGCTTGAAGGTGGCTTTCACAGCCCGAAGACAGGGACCCGTGCGTGGATACGTATACCCCAAGCCTCTGAAGGGAGACACAAGTTAGAGCCAAGTAGGGTAAAAAAACCCCAACGAACGCAGGGATTCTGCTTGTCCTTTAAATGCGCTTTATGGAGTTTTACCAAGGGACACAAGATCAAAAAAGAAGTAAATACATAGTATTACTAGCTCAAGACTGAATAAACTATAGCAGCTACATTTCGAAAGTGCAGGTGAGAAGGATGCCTCTTACTCAGGCTTGGTGGGGAACGAGCATCTGGCCCGTTCGTTTGGCCATAGCTGGCGTAGCGGACAACGCAGCTCAAAGCACCTCGTAAGCCTCCAGACGGCTTGGCCATGAAACCCACAGGGCTCCCGGGGGGTTAGAAGGTGAACGCAGGCATTGGGGCGCTTGGTCCCATGCGCAAGGAGACGCTGGAAGTCACACTGACTGGGCAGCAGAGCTCACACCTTTCTCCCGGCCCCAGGACGCTGCCCCGGCTGCGGAGACCACCCTCCTCTGCCTCAGCACCGCCAAAACGCTTCCCAAATCCATCACTCGCGACGCTGCTCAGGCAAGATGGCTTGATGAAGGTAGCTTCTTATTTTTTAGATAGAAAAACTGAGTAGAAATGAAGTGACTTGTCTAAGGTCACAGACTGAATTACTATCAAAGGCCGAGACTAGTCGAGGCATTCCCAGCGTCCCAACTAGCTCCTCCATCCCTAGGGAAAGCATTATTCTTCCTACCCTCTAAACTTGTTTATTCTTTCTCTTTCTCTTAGATTAGCCAAGAAAAATAGTAAAGAAAGTCAACAAAATATCTTTCCACAGAGTAATGAAACCCTGTTCTCCAGTAAGGAATATCCTTCATTGCAGCACATTAATTATGCTGTAGGCTAACATTCCCATAGTCATTCCTGTTGTCCTCTTTGCTCTGAAAAAAGACATCTAATGTCACATTTCCAGTTTCTGTCAGCATAAAAATTAATGTGCTCAGCAATGGCACCCTTAGATCCTTATTTTCTGACAGAGATCACTAAGGTTACTCTCTATTCTTTCCAAAACAAAACCACCTTTAAAGTTCAGAAAGGAGGTTAGCATTTCATGTCGAAGGCAGCGTGAGCATGGTGAGTTTTCAGTGGGTGGTGATGGCGAGACCAGACCGCCAGTGACAGAACCACTTCTGAAAATCAGCTGGATAATCTACATTTTCCAGGCTCGCGCGCTGTGATTTAGGAGAGTGCAAGACTTACGGCTCTCGGTGGCCTCCTCGTACCATCTTTTTTGTATATGCAGATCTCTCAAGGTAGAGTGGCTTGGCAGGGAATGACTAAATCATAAATAATGGGCTTTTTCCTGTAGCCAAGAAGCTGTTTTTCTTGCAGCCCATACTTTCAAAAAAAGGGGGTGAAGGCCTGTGCAGGCAGGATACCGGCTCTTCACCCCTCCTGAACATACCCTGCTCAAAGGCAATTGCCAAAACACTAAACGAGTTAGTCATATACCTGCACAATAAATGAAAAGGAAGAGGCTGATTTTCAAAGCTACACATACAGCTCTGTTGGCTTACAGACAACCTTATTTCTCATAGGTTACCAAGGCAGAAACATATTTGATTATGTAGAAAAAAGTTAACTAAAATGGATGTGAAAGCCCAAGACAAAGATAAATCTGGACTTGTTTTGGTTTTTTCTTCCCTGACAAGCAAGCTGGGTGGTGATACGAGCAGGACAGAGCCGCTCCAGGTAGCTGCACTGCGACAAAACGCCTCCACCTCACTGAATACAGCATAGACGCAGAAGACACGCATTAGGCCTGCAGAGGGGCCTCTCACTGCAAGAAGGACGTTGAGGTGCTGGAGCGTGTCCAGAGAAGGGCAACGGAGCTGGGGAGGGGTCTGGAGCACAAGTCTGATGGGGAGCGGCTGAGGGAACTGGGGGTGTTCAGTCTGGAGAAGAGGAGGCTGAGGGGAGCCCTCATCGCTCTCTACAACTACCTGAAAGGGGGTTGTGGTGAGGTGGGGGTTGGTCTCTTCTCCCAAGTAACCAGCGATAGAACAAGAGGAAATGGCCTCAAGTTGCGCCAGGGGAGGTTTAGATTGGATATTAGGAGAAATTTCTTCACTGAGAGAGTGGTCAGGCATTGGAACAGGCTGCCCAGGGAGGTGGTGGAGTCGCCATCTCTGGAAGTGTTCAAAAAATGCGTGGATGTGGCACTTCAGGACATGGTTTAGGGGACATGGTGGCGCTGGACTAATGGTTGGACTTGATGATCTTGAAGGTCCTTTCCAACCTAGTGATTCTGTGATTCTCTGTGATAATTAAATCCACGTAACTTGGTCCCGTCGGGACCCTGCCCCCAGGGCCTGTGTTTCGGTTTGGTACCCCCCAGCAGCACTTACCGCACGCTCAGCAGCACAGGCCAGCAGTCGTTCCTAGCCCTTGCGTTTGACACGGCCAATGGCATCAAAGCGCTGCCTCTTGGGCAGTTTTGGACAGAGCTGGAGAGTGTTTGAGGTGGCAAACTGCATTTGCAGGACGTCTGCCACGTCTGAAATCACCAGAAACCAAGAACGAAACAGGGCAAGTGCCCCGCTGCGGTGAAACTCCTGCGAGCCACCGCGTTTGCTGGCCTGGGCTTCCTCCCACCAGACATCACACGAGTCAGAGCACATGAGAATGAGAGTTACGTGGCATTTCCTTCTACATTTTTAAAGGTCTCCAGGTGTCACTTGACCAAGAGTCACAAGACCTCAGCAACCTGGAGACCAACAGTACCCAAAAGGAGCGTGTGCGTTCAAGCAGCTATAAAAAATACGATGCTTTAAACATCTCGGCGTGGGCAAACGCAGGCAGGAGTGTGTTTGAACTCCTTGAATCAGCCAGAAATTAGCCAGCTGCGGTCCAGAAAGCCAGTGTCATGCTCCATGCTCGAGTCCTTTTGCTCCATGGGCTCAGGGGTGCGAGACACGGGAATGGGCAGCACAGAGGGGATGATGCCAACTGGCCTTATTCTATTTTAATAATGTTCTCCAAGGCTATGATATTTAACAGGGAAATATTAGAAAGCATCCATATATTGATTTATTATTATCTTAGCTTTGAAGTCAAAATACATTTGCATGGACACTTTGCAACATTTTCAAACCAACATTACAGCTTGTTACACTGCATTGAGGGGAAACAGCCACGAAGTAAAATTCACACGTATGTAACTCAGCAGATGACCTTTCCTACACACCACATTTACGTATTTTCAGACCAAGTGACTTTATTTTTTTTTTAACAGAAAATTAAAAAACCCCATTGTTAATTACTGTGCCACAACTGTAGCAGACGAGCAGAAACCGTATTTGGCACATTTCATCAGATGTGTCTTGCCTGTGTAAGTCAATTAACTGAGGCAAAGGGAGCTCCACGGATACCCTGCCCAAGAGTGATTTCCCAGGACTATTCTGGAAATGAGATGACACGTCTCAAGAGATTATTTCCTGCTAAAGTCATTTTAAATAACTATATTAAAAAGCAACCAGAAGTTACAAGTACAACCTAGTTCTGTCTTTCACCAGTGGCCCTTCATCTCTTTGGAAACTTGAAATGAAATGTACTTTAAATCTGTATTAAAATTGCCGGAGCTGTTGTCTTCAAGGAAAAGCGATTTGGGACAGGGAAGAGCAGGCATGCCTTGCCTTGCCTTGCCTTGCCTTGCCGGTGGGTTTGCCGCTATGGCAGAGAGGAGGGATGCCAGGAACAATACCGTCAGCCCTCCCGGCAGGCTGCACACACACAGCTATTCAAAGCACAGGGCTATTTTCGTATTAATCAAGAGCGAGCTGATTAAATCTGTAGCTTTACAAAGAAAGGGAATTAACCAAATGAAAACATTCATTTCAATGCAAAACTTTATGATATGTAACTTTGGAAACAAAGCCCTCTCTGAGCAATCCCATCTGCTCCGCTTGGCTTGTGCTCTTTGAAATAAACATCTGTTTACACGATGAAGACACGGGTACATTTGTCTCTGTCGGTTTTATCATAGAAAAGCATTAAAATGGTTTTAAGCGCAAAGTTAAACATCAGGTGTTAAAATCGAGAGTGTGCTTTTGAGCATTTGTTTATGACTTTGCTCTTCGAAAGGAAGTTTTTTTAATTCCTGATCCAACACCGTTGCGAAAGGACCTTTTATTGAAAGGCATCTCCAGGTAAGGCTTTAAAAAAGCCAGTTCTTCACTTCTGCCCACCTTGGCTAAGCAGTTATTCAGCGTGACGAGGCAGTAATCAGATTTTCCATACAGCTGGCAATTCAAATAAAAAGGATTGCTGCTCTGAAGATTAAAAAAAAAAAAAAGAAAAAGGGAGAGAGATAAGAAAAGGTAAAACTATGGATTTGTGTATTTGCCAGGGCTTGTTCCATATAAAAAAAAAACAAGGCAGAAACACAAAACCAATTTATGCTTAGAATGACAAGGATTAACTGTTATTTCCTAAGGATTTGTCGTATTCAAAATCAGATTTTTTTCACAGCTTTCTAGAAAACTCAACTGTGTTATTTCTGGTATAAAATACTGATACTGTTACAATCATGTTTGTGGTATGGAATGAATTGTTTTCCGTGATGTTGACCGATTGTGACACGTAACAGAGTTTCCCTAGAGTAGCATGCATGTTTATTGCTGTAAAATGAGATTTTTTCAGCTAACAATGAAACAGGATCTTGTTATCACTTCTGTGAAGACATGTAGTTTAAATGCCAGATAAGAGAAAATGGAAATACTTGTAAAGCAGAAACGTGGGGGAGGAAACTTTCTAGTCGTTACAACTAGTTAATGGCAGTAGTTATGACTAAATGTAATAATGACAAAATATTAATGGGAATTTTAAAAAGTCTGGATTAAAATCCATACAGGTTTATATACACATTCTTTTTACTTGCACTTTACAGTATAAAAATGTAAACTACATTAAAAACTTTTACAAATTTCAGTTGCGTTTAAATTAACATTGCATTTAAAAGGAAACATTTCCTGGCACGTCTGCAGTTGTTCTGTGAAGCCTTCATCATGTCACGATTCACAAGCCTGCTGATTATCTATCTAAAAGAAATACTCTGCCATCCTTTCTAAAGCTGTGTTGCGTTGCTGCTTGGGAAAGGCTTGCAGGCAAAGCCATGGGGTTACCACCTGCCTTCGCTGGAACCGATGGTAAAATTGCCATTCGCTGCACTAAGACTAGTTTTAATTCACTATGCCGCTACTTTTATTAATACCGTTTTGTACTTAACGTTTTCTCTGTTCCGCGCCTACGAAAAGCAGATTAACGATCCCTTCTGCAAGCCAGAGCACGCACCGAGTCTGAGGCACTGAGCAGGCGCGCGGCTCGCTCGCCACACAGCCTTCTCTTGCCGCTGACCGGCGAGATGTTATCCCCGGGCCGAGGTTTCCCCCTAAGAGAAGAAACACTTCCTGCACAAAACACAGGCAACAGAGAAATTTCCCTCTGAAATTTCCCTCTGTGTTGCCTCACAACCTATACAGGGGCTTACACTACTGAATAAATGACTGTTATTTTGACATGCAGGATATTCATTTATATGAAATAATTAAACTCATTTTACCTGTTATATCATTGCCATAAAGAGATCCATTAAGAAATGTCAGATCAAGCTGTGTCTAAACTACCCGTGATCAGAAATGAAAGATGATTCAGCATTTACAGAAGTAAACGACACAGAGGAACAGACTCTGGCTATCGGGAACTTCGCATCAATAAAACAAACGGCCGCACGAGTGGCCACCGTCTCTGCTAGCGACAGATTGCCTTAATGAAAAGATAATGATGCAAAACACGTCAGAGGAAACAAAGAAAGCTGAACCATGGCTCCTAGAGCTGATTTTACAGCAGTAAAGAAACAGGGAGCCTAAAGACGACTGTGTCCAAAGCTTTCCTTTTCCCACAGGAAAATTGAACATCATTAGAAATAAAATATCTCGTTCCACGTCGACAAAGTCTTAAACGGTGTATCCATAGTTTGACCAGCAATCTGTCGCGGTAGCGGGGTCGAGATCAGAAACCGAAAGGATATTAGTGTTATTGAAGTAACCTGTTCACTTCCCTTCTATAGGTTGTTCTGCTTGCTTTCATCGTTCAATCAAATTTGTCTTACTGATTCTATGCAATAATTTTCCATAGCTTTATATTAGAATTTGTCCTTTACCTACACACTAACAGTGACAAATAAACTTACAGGTTTATAAACTAGCTAGCAATAAGTGAAATTAATACATGGATCTTATTGTACCTGTTTGATACAGACAAGGAATTTAGATGAACTGGAGAGGAGATTGATATTTTTCTCTTTTCTATACAATATTTCAACTTCAGCAAAAACTCCCCACACTCTACATTAAATATGCAATAGATTTCTCACATGATTATTTTAGAGGCTTGCATATTTTATTAGTAACTAAAGCAAAAATGGAGTTATACTCCAGGAAAATTAGGTAATAATACTTAACCAATAGCTTTAATACAAGAAACTTCTTTCACTTTATAAACATCAACAAAGAAACAAGCAAACAAAAAGAAATTGTTTAAATAAAACAGCTATTTTAAAGAAATGAAGCATCTGATCTTCAAGTAGGGAGCATGACTTACCACGGAAGGGAGAAGCGGGTAACCCGAGCACACAAATGTCATTGAGATCCAAACAACGAAAACAAAGTTTAACCTGCATAGGCTTCGAAGAAAAACTGAGATCAGTTAAAAGTCAAAACAAAATCAAACAAAACAACACGCATGCACACAAACACAGAACGGTACATTTTCTCCGCATACAATTAATCTGCAGTGTCTTTACCTGATCATTTTTTATTCAGGAGTCTATATGTATGGACACACAGTTATACTACCTAATTCCTCACATATCCTTTCAGTTCTTTCTTAGATGACCATTTTATACCAGAGTTCAGGAATGAAAATGTCATCAAAGATGATTTTATTATGACTAATTGGCCCTTGTTCGGCCTTTTCTTCTTGTTAAATGGGAAAATGGCAAGAACACATTCAGCTGCCATTATGAAACTACCAACTGATTTCATTTAAAGTGTTCCAATAAAATGTCTCTCAAGTGGGTTTACTGTTAAGTCTCTATCATCATAGCAAATATGGTCAAAGGTCTAAAGATTCCAAAAACACATTTCAAGAATTTTTTACCACTTCCAATATCTCATATTAAGACCTTGTAAAGCCTGGCTGCAAGGGAAAAACAGTAGAAGTGCACTTTCAATAGAAAGTTCCTCAAAGAATCTGATTGGACTCAGAGCAGATACAATACATAGAACAGTACCTAACAATATAGATATCTTTATCTTTTACTTCCCCCCGCTTTTTTTTTTTACATGCTAAGTTTTTAATGCATCCAATTTTTAAGTGTTTTTCATAGAATTTAAGTTCTTTGGACATTAATTTCTTCTCTCGCATGCAGACATATCTTAGCCTATGTTGAGTTTATTCATCAAATCTTCTGTAGGATTAATAAGTTCTGTTCATCTCCATCAAGGTAGCAAACATTTAACATCTAAGTGCATCATATGTTACTGCAGCAAATTTAATTGTGCAACATTTAATTTAATTGCACAATAATTTAGGGGATCCTGTGGTTTATTTATACAGAGTACTGTAAAAGCAGTAAGAGTCCCACAAAGTCTCTGAGTGTTAGCCTGCACAGGCGAGGGAATGCTGAAGAACATGAAATTCCATTTTCTTTTTCTTAGAATGAAAATGCTAAGGATCGTTTTTTGACAGTCACGCAGTGTTAGAACTGCACACCAGTGACTCAGCAGCCTCAAACGTTGTATTTCCTTCAGCGTTTATGCTGAAAAATCAACGTACAAGGGCTCCAGAAGGGAACTCTGTGTGAGTCTTCGAGGACACCTGAGCTGATATAAATTATGGCGACTTTGACTGGAACATTCAGCCTCCTGATGTGGATGCATTTAATCCCAGAAGGTAGAAAGCAGTAAGGCCTTCAGATAAGGCCAGAAGAACTACAGTGGCATGTAAGAGCCTTTAACATTTTCTATAGAAAAATTCATAATTTCATCTCAGGTTGTGGTTGAATATTTTTTCATCATCACTGTACGTGGCGGTGCTGATCATGTTAGTGGTTGATATAATCCAATGACTCTCAAATTACTTTTAAAAAGTACGTGTTTGTAGTCGCTGGTAAAGTACTTCGGGATTCTTCAGGACCAACAGGACTATAGAAATATAAGATGAAATTAGCCTCATTTAAACACTGCAGTAAGCAATCCATTTATAAAAATCGTCAAGAGAACCTTTGGCTATTTGCATATTCAGTATGTGTCCTCTTATTCAGAGAGAAAATCCTTTCGTTTGAATTGAACATCCCGTTCCGACTCGTACAGGACCTCCAACTCCAACCGATAAGCGGATTAGCCCGTGTTTCTGCTGCAATGAAAAGCACATTGGGTTGGATTCTGCTTGAGCATAGTGTAGCGTCAGCTTTCCTTGTATCTGCATTTAGTTTAACTCCATTTTAATACAAAATTAACCTTCACACAACATTATTTGTGGAAGATGAGGGACAAGAAAAGCCTTGTGATTAAAGTTAGGATTTCTAGATTCAGTGTGGAGCTTGTACCTTAGACTGTCTGGGTAACCTTCAGTGCCTTATTGACCTATTTTTTTTTAAATCATGAGTTGTTTCAGTCCTTGGTGACCTCCCATTGTGCCTGGTGAGTACCTCCTATGCTTACCATTATCACATCCCTTTAAAACAGTGGGTTTGGCCATGTTTCTAGCTCATAGACTTTGGACATGACGGGTGCCCACAGCCTTTCTCTGTTGGCGCCTTCAGCACAAGCAGGTGGACAACCAAGCAAGGCCACCAAGCAGCTCCCAGGGGACACCAAAAAGATGGCCATGAGGGCCTGGACAGGAGGAAGTTTTGTGGAGCCTGGAGCAAAGCAGCAGCAGATTACAGAAACTTTGAACAACACAGGAAGACTGTTCTCGTGTGACTTTCTAAGGAAGGACAAAAAGATGATCAAATACGCTTGTTAAGGAAGTTTCACACA